GATATTAAATGTAAGACCAGGATGATCTGGGTGCAGGATTGTGTTAGGGTCATGCAGGCTCCTGTGTGGAGAAAGCCAAGGGATCCCGTATCTCCACCACCCTTGGGTGTTTGCTATACTCAGAAGATCTGTTGCAGTCTCTGAATGTAATCCTGGATGTTGGTCCTTCATCTTCAGTGCTAGAAGTAGGGATGCACACAGCATCTCCCGTGTTGCATGCATTCTCCCCAAGTTCTTCCCTATCAGGGATGCTCAGCTTTTCCAACCCACCCCTTGTTTGCTCTGGTTTAAAAAGAAACCAGCAGCACCAGCAACCCCAAAACCCTGCCCAGGCCAAACAAAAACCCCTTTGTTTGCTCTAGGCATTGGATTCAAGCGGAAATCTTGTTAGGGAAGGAGCAATAATGGCTTTTCTGCACTAATTATAGCTCTCAAAGCTGTTTATTCAGTATGAACAGATGAAAATGTGGATGCAACCTCCTGCCCGGCTCCCCATGTTGTTGCAACTTTCTTTGCCTCTTTTCCTCCCTGGACTAATAAGTGATGTGCTAACAAGTTATCAGAGGTCTCTGGAGGTAAAGAGAGGGGGCTGTTCTGCAAACCTGGGCTGGCGGGGGCTTAATGCTGCCCGACCCACTTGCCATTTCTCACTCTGCCGAACCCCTCTCATGTCTTTAAACCAGTCCCCTGGGACAGCAAGGGTCTGGGGATGCGGTAACGTGGCTCAGTGCCAGGGATGGGGACGTCCCTGAGGGATAGATAGGTAGTAGAGAAAGCATTTGAGGAGCCGATGTGAGCTGTGGGTACCACCACAGGTTCCAGTTCCCCGTCACTGGATAAAGGAGTTGAACAATGGGTGCAGCTTTGGGGCTCTTTGCAGAACAGCAACGCTTTAATTTCCTGTGTGCTTCAGGCTCTGCTGCTGGGACAGACCATTTCTTTACTTCTTGGCAGCAGAAAATCAAAATAGCTGCTAAATCCCCCAAATTATGGTCCTTCCTGGCGTTTCTTCCTTGGTGTTGCACGATAGCCCTGTTTTAATGTTGAAACACAAACCACTCCCCAGCTGGGTGTTCCCAAAGTCGTCGTCATCTTCAGCCTTTTACAATATCGAACGGGCTCTGCGATAAGAGCTATTATTAGACAAGTGCTTTTAATAGAGGTAAAAAATTTCAATATCAGGCACAGTGCTGCAGCCCAAGCAAGTCCTTATCAGTGCCAAAGCCCACATTAGCATGTAGGAGTGGGTGAATCCATGACCTGTGCTCGCATCACGCCCAGTTCCCGAGGGCTGGTAATTAAAGCAACTTTGTTGTTGGAGTTGATTTGGACACTATTGTACTTGTTATGGAGAGAAAAGCATAAGCTGGAGGAATAAGGGTGATGGTTTCACATTATTTTCATATTATGTATGAAATATATGATATAAAAAATACACCATATTCTATGATTCTGTGCACCCCTTATCCCGCACTGCCATTCCAAACATAACGTTGGGAAGAGAATCCTTCTGCTGTGCAGAGTCCCATCCTCTTCTAGTTTTACCCTTTAATAGGAGCAGCAGAAGCCAGGGCAAAGAGCTGCTTCATTTTAGTCCCTCCAAGGCTTTTAAACCAATCACCAAATAGGTTGCTGTCTTCTTCCAGCGAGTCCATCAGCGTCCCCATGATCCCTTTGGGCCTGAAGGAGACGAAGGAGCTGGATTTGCTAGTACCTCTAAAGGTGAGCGTCGGGGTTTCGTTCGCTTGATGCAATAAAAGACGATGGAGGGGAGCGACCGTGTAGTTTGGGTGCGGTTGGGTGCTGTAGGGGAGATGCTGCAGCAGCTGCAGAATGTTTTCCATTTTAGAACTTTTGCAAAAAAAAAGAAAAGGTTTATGGGGAGGAGCTGGACTTAAAACATAGCAAAGTAGAAGATGAGGGTCTGGAGATGCTGGAGAGCAAAAGCCAGGCAGGGGAGGAGATAGCTTTCCCTGGCACAGGTTTCCTTGCAGAGGGAGCTTGTAAATGGTCATCCTTTAAATTTTGAATATCTATTTCCAAAGGTGGCTCAGGCTTTTCTTTTCTCTTGTTTCCCCATCCAGGATCTCATCAGTGAACACTATGGAGAGGAGGGCATCTTGTTTGAAAAGGAAATCAAAGAGTTCATGGAGCTACGGCAGGTCGGTCTCCCTTGAGTTGCAAAGTCTTGCTTTGGCCTGTCCAGAAATGCCCGTTGGAGGTGCCACGTTTTGCTTCCGGGTCCTTTCGGCCTCTCTCCAAACTGCACCTTTTATCCTTGTGTCTTGGGGTGAAGGATTCCCGCGCTAGAGCACCTCAGCTTCGATTCATAGCTTACAAAATATTACAGACCATTCAGTAATTGTTTTCTTTCTCCATCCTTTAACGCCCTGCTAACCTGGAACTGAACAGCAATAAAAGTTATAATGCAATCTATTACTGGTTTATGAATATTGTTCACCCCCAGTGAGGCTAAATGACCGCTCTCCCTCCAGCTAGCCCGTGGAGATGAGGAAATAGAAAGCAGTCCGGGAAAGGTGGATTTTCTCCTCTCCTATGAAGCATAAGTAACTTCAAGTTTTGCCTTGCTGTGAAGCTTTGATCTGGGAGAGCAGAAAGAAAGAGGCTCCACAAGGCTTAGCCCTTGTGGAGGGACTGATCCTGCTCTTCGGGCTGTGGGAGGGGAGCCCTGCAAATCCAGAAGCTGGGAAAAGCCCCCATAGTTAAAACTAGGCATTAGGAGGGCTCTGACCCTCCTCCCTGTGTCAGGTCAAAAGCTCAAGGGCTTTTTTAAGAGCAAAAAGTCCTGTTTCTTCCCTAGCATTTATTTCAGCAGACTTCGCATGAGTTTCTTAAGAAAAATAATAATCCCAGCTTGATTTAGGCAAGTGTTGCCATCGGCACAGCTCCCAGGCTGCTGGCTCTGGATTTGGGTGTCCCAGCACCGAATTGGTGCCTCCCTGACCCTTCCCAGGGCTGAACCTGTGTCGGGAGGCTGCCTCCTGCTGCTGCACAGCCTCTCATCTAATCCTGTTGATCATATTGATCTGATCCTGCTGATCTAATAACTCAGGGGGAATTTTTTGCCCCTGGGATGGCCAGTGCATTCAGCTCCATAAATCTGATGTCTCCTCCCCGTTTCCCCCCCTCTTTTCCCACCCACGTTTCTCCTCTCCCCATCCCTGCAGGCGATGCGCACCCCGAGCCGCAACGAAGCCGGGCTCGAGCTCTTGATGGAATATTACAACCAGCTCTACTTCCTCGACAGCCGTTTCTTCCCTCCCACCAAAAGCTTGGGTGTCTTCTTCCACTGGTTGGTGCAGCTTTCCCCATCCCACATGGGGCATCGCGAGTCGGGAGGGAACCAGGGCCAAGCCTCCACGATGGGATTGCTGCCTCGGCAGCAATGCCAGGGCTGGTGAATGTGGGGAGTGGGGTTTTCCCATGCTCTGGGCTTGCTGTTGCCCTGGGTGGGTTGGTTAGGAGAGGCAGGGGAAAGTATGTGCCCCACGGGGATGAGCCATGATGGGAACGGTGGCTGCAAGCCCACGCAGAGCACAGAAAACCCTCCAGGTTCCTCCTGCATCCATGGGTGAGGACATCAAGAAGAGTGTGGCCAGCAGGTCCAGGGAGGTCATCCTCCCACTCTATTCTGCCCTGGGGAAGGCACATCTGGAGCACTGTGTTCAGTTCTGGGCTCCCCGGGTCAAGAAGGACACGGAACTGCTGGAGAGGGTCCAGCAAAGGGCTACAAAGATGATGAGGGGACTGGAGCATCTTTCTTACAAGGAAAGGCTGAGGGACTTGGGGCTTTTTAGTCTGGAGAAGAGAAGACTGAGGGGGGATCTTCTCAATGCTTATCAATCCTTAAAAGGAGAGTGTCAGGGGGATGGGAACAGTCTTTTTTCAGTGGTGCCCGGTGATAGGACAAGAGGGAACGGGCACAAACTTGACCATAGGAAGTTCCATCTAAACCTGAGGAGAGACTTCTCTCCTGCAGCCGTTGACTCTTCCCTTCCCCAGGTACGACTCCCTGACAGGGGTCCCATCCCACCAGCGAGCGCTGGCCTTCGAGAAGGGCAGCGTGCTCTTCAACATCGGAGCCCTGCACACCCAGATCGGAGCGCGGCAGGACCGCGCGTCCCTGCCGGGGCTCAACCAAGCCATCGATGCCTTTCAGAAGGCAGCCGGTACGTGGGTTCCCCCTTCTTCCCAAGCTCCCCATGGGTGTGCAGGCAGCATTTCCACAGAGTGGGAGTAATTCTCATGGGTGCAAGAAGGGGAGGGAGCAGTTGTGCAAAGAGGGATGGGGCATCTCCAAGGGACCATGAAGCATGAGAGCAGCCCTGAGGAGAGGGACTTGGGGGTGTTGGTGGATGAGAAGCTCAATGTGAGCCAGCAACATGTGCTTTCAGCCCAGTAAGCTGACCATATCCTGGGATGCATCCCCAGCAGCATGGCCAGCAGGGCAAGGGAGGTGATTGTGCCCCTCTGCTCTGGTCTGGTGAGACCCCACCGGGAATATCACATCCAGCTCTGGAGCCCCCAACATAAGCACATGGACCTGTTAGAGCGAATCCAGAGGAGGGCTACGAAGATGATCAGAGGGTTAGAGCACCTCTGCTATGAGGACAGGCTGAGAGAGTTGGGGTTGTTCAGCCTGGAGAAGAGAAGGCTCTGGGAAAACTTACAGCAGCCTTCCAGTATCTGAAGGGGGCCTGCAAGAAAGCTGGAGAGGGACTTTTTACATGTAGTGATTGGATGAGGGGTAATGGCTTCAAGCTGGAAGAGGAGAGATTTAGATTAGATATGAGGAAGAAATTTTTCACTCTGAGGGTGGTGAGGCACTGGAACAGGTGGTCCAGAGAAGTTGTGGCTGCCCCATCCCTGGAGGAGTTCAAGGCCAGGTTGGACGGGTCTTTGAGCAACCTGGTCTGGTGGGAGGTGTCCCTGCCCATGGCAGGGAGGTTGGAATGAGATGATCCCTTTTAGGTCCCTTCTGACCTAAACCGTTCCATGATTCTGTGATTCTGTGAAGCACAAGTTGGCACCACGATGCTTCTGTGGGTTATGAAGAGGAGCTCGGATGACCAAACAGCCACCCAAAGGGCCCTCTCTTGCCACAAGGCAGTAGGGATGTCCCAGCTGGGGAGAGGAGAGATGCTGATCTCTCTGCAAGCAGCTGGAAAAAAAGAGACCCTGGGACTGTGTTCACCCAGTGCTTAGGAGAAGAAAGCTGTGGGCACAAGGATGGTTTAGGTAGCAAAGGAAGGACCCCCAACCTTTTAACCCACTGCTTGTGGTGAGATCCTTGATGTGTGAGCTGCGTTGGTGGCTCTTCTCCTGCGCCACTGGTGGGGAAAGCTTCGTAGTCAGAAAGCTTGACCCTCCTACTTACAAACCTGGCTGCTACCAGGAGCTTCTGCTTTGCACAGGTGCCTTTAACTACTTGAAGGAAAACTTCTCCAATGCTCCCAGCCTGGATATGAGTGCCGCCTCCTTGAACATGCTGGTGCGATTAATGGTCGCCCAGGTCCAGGAGTGCGTCTTTGAGAAGATGACTTTGCTGCGCACTCAGCATGACTTCCTCGCCCGGCTGCAGCTTGCCCAGGAGGCAGCAAGGGTGAGCACCTCAGGGAGGAGAGGACTTGGTGGGGCTATCGCTACTAGAGTTGCTCCTTCTGTGGTCAGCAGTACCTCCCAGGAGAGGACAGCCTGATGGATGTCCATCATCCCAATCCATGACTTAGCAGCTTGTCTCTTGACGCCCCACAGGTGGAAGACGTCTACTCGCTGGTACACCAGACGATGACCCAGGCGCATGTGAAAGATTATGTTCCCTTCTCGTGGACCACCATGGTCCACGTCAAGTCGGAACATTTCAAAGCCCTCTCCCACTACTTCGCTGCCATTGCTCTCTGCGACTGCCCCGGTGAGTGTTACAGCTCGAAGGCAGCTGCCTGCTCAGCCAACTGCTGGCTCCACGTGGTAGCCTGGGGTTTGAGAGGGAATGCAAAAAAAAGAGGTGAAGGGACATATGCACAGGGTAAATGGGTACAAAACGGAAAGTTTTGGGGATGCTCTGAGCTGTTGCTCGCTTATTGACTCAGTGATTCATGCACAGGGCAGATTTCCCCTATGTTTCTAGTTTGCAAAGTTCTTCTAGGAAGGTGAGCAAAAAGGTGCTGTAGGGATGTCGCCTGCTGTCCCCTTTGGGACTGAGTGGATAAGTTGGGGGGGCAACTTTGAGGGTGGTAAGGCACTGGAACAGGTTGCCCAGAGAGGTTGCTGAGTCCCCATCCCTGGAGGTGTTGAAGGCCAGGCTGGAGGTGGCCTTGGGCAACCTGGTCTAGTGGAAGGTATCCCTGCCTATGGCAGGGGGTTGGAACTTAATGTTCTTCAAGGTCCCTTCCAACCTAAACCATTCTATGATTCTATGACTCCGGGGAGCCAGCTGGAGTGTGGACGTGGGCTGCAACCCATGACTTCCATCTGTGCCACCACTGACACCCATGCAAGCGATTTTGGGTCAGGGAGAGGATCCGGGGGCGGGCAGCCGATGCACACTGTGACCTGTGGTGCCAACCCATCGTTTGGTGGGGTGGCTGAGGACAGGCTGGGGGACTTCTTGGGGGATGGCTTCCGAAAGCAATGCCGTGACGGTGACGTTGATGGCTGCCAGACTGTCCCAGCATCCTCCCCCGCTCCGGAGCCAGCCTAAAATATTGCTGCCAGGCTTGTGCCACGTGGGCGTTGCAGAAGGAGGATTGAGCAAGGAGAGCTGCTGGGGCAGAGACAGGAGAGAGTGGGGTGCTGTGGGGCTGGAGCAACTTAAAGACAGAAACAGCAGGGAATGGTGATGGGACTGGGGTTGCATGGGGTTGCAAGGGACAGGGCAAACCTCTCCCCTAAAATTTTGAGGCTGTTTGCCTGGCCTGATAATCTTAGGTGCTGAGGGAAACACAAAACTGCAGGAGATTTCAAATTTGGGTGTTTGGGGATTTTTTTGCTCCATCCAGAACATGCTTTTGAGATCTCACGTGCCCGCTCGCTACCTCTCCCTGACCCCCTTCTTCAGAATAACAAATCTTTTGCTTCCATCACCAGCCAGCAATAAACTCCTTACGCTGCAGTTTAATCCCCTGGGGACACTGGCACGGAGAGGGTTGGCATGGGGAGAGCCAGCCCTGGAGCTGCCGGTTCCCAGCCTGCTGGGTTTCTATGCTGGGGGTGCTCACCAGGCTTTGGGATCTCCTTCCATTTGGACCAGCAAGCCTACAAGGCTCCCTGGAGCCCTCTGGGTTGCTTCCTATTGCACCTTGTTGTCCAGGAGAGGAGGCTGCCACGCAACCCTGAGCTCCTTGTGAGCCACAGGGGATTAGGAACAGCTTTCACTGGAAATAGGGGTATAAAAATGATGCATACAGAGCCTGGTGTGGTGCTTGGAGTGCCTGTGCAAGCTGTATCCATCTCAGTTTCTCCATTGAAGGACCCCCTTTGGTTACACCACAAGCTCTCTGTCCGTGCAGGGGTCCCAGGCACAGCAAGGGGGACTCAGCTCCCAAAGTAATCGGCCCAACTCTTGCACTTTAGTTGTTGTGTGACTTGGGTCCGTGTCACTAACAGAGGAGAAAATCCATGCTCTTGATTTCCAATCCCGCTTCCAGATGGGAGCAAAGCAGGGAAGGAGGCAAAAAAAGATGGGTACTTGTGCTGTGCACAGGGAAAACCCTGCGCTTGGCTTCAAAGCCTTGTAGAGCCTTGAGTGTGATAACTCGTCCCTCTCTGTCGGTGATGTCTTGGTGTTCATTGCAGGCTGTGGTTGGGTGAGAGGAAGCTGCTGCTGAAGTTTTCAGGGCCACACGAGCATGGATGTGGCTTCTTGGTCCCCTTGTCCCCACCCCTGTTGGAGGTCCAGGTGGCTGAGCAGCACCTTGACTTCTCTCTAAGCCCGTCCCCACCCAATTTTTTTCACACAGCGGCATCTGACGCTGAACTGCCAGAGCAGGAGAAGGCTTTTATCCAGTTCCATGTCACCATGCCAGAGGGACCGTCACTCCGCATCCTGCTGCAGGACCCTGAGGAGAGGAGGAAGCTGGGTAAGTGCATCCATGGGGGCAAAGCCCCTGGTTCTTGCGATGAAACCTCGATGCACAGGCAGTGAGCCCCATCGTAACCCTACTCATGTAAGCATGGTCTCCACGAAGGGATGATGAGCTGTTGGGGGGTCTCTCCATGCAAAGACACCCTTTTTTGGGCTTTCTTTGAAAAGATCCTCTCCTGGGAAGGCAGGAAAGTGTCACAGTTCCTTACTAGGGTGTTGAGGACCACCTCATGGTGCTTACGCCTACCTGTCCAGCTGAGTTTGACAGTAAAAGCTCAGGCACCGAGGTGTCCTGAGCCACGTAACGTCATCTAACAGAGCATGGAGAAATCCATAGGAACACAGAGATCCTGGAAGCTTCTTGGCTTGGGCTTGCCGGTACTTGGCTTGATGACAAGAAGATGCAGCAGATGCCAGGGGGTGGCTTTTTTAGCTGCATCAAAAGGCTTGGAAGACGAGAGCTTCCTCCCATGCGGATTTTCAGCTTCAGGGGAAAAACAGAGCGTTGCTTATTCAGCTGAAGTCGTGTTTTGGCAGCACCTTCCCAACAAGGCTGCAACAAGAGCAAGCTCAGCGCCCTGGTTTTGGGATGTTGTCTCGTGTTTGCCTCCCCCATGACCTGCCTCCTGGTGTTCTTTCCCCTCATTGTATGCGTGTGAAAGGAGCCAGGTCTCACCAGGAATGAGTTTGTCATGTCACCGGCCCCAGGAAAGTCCTCCCGGCTGCTCGGCCGGATTTCACTGCTGGGGACGGGAGGTGGTGGATATGCATGAGAAGACTTCTTAAACAAACCCCAAAACCAGACCGTTATGGTAACACCCCCCCAACACCCTCAGCTGCTGTCATCTGGTTTCCTGATTTGCATCAACCCAGCTTCCAGCTCTGCCTGCTCTTCTTGGGAGGAACGGGCTCTGTTCAACATCTGCTGGTGAAAAATGAACGTGCAGATGCCAGCCTCCACTCTGGTTTTGGTTACAGGAAGGGAAGAAACTTGCAGCGTTAAAACCATCTCCCCGAAAGGATGTTTTTTCCCCCTCCCCTTGTCTCCTAGTCTTATAGCATTACGTTTTATCAGATGTGGTATAGTCCACCACCTTCAACAGAGTGGAACCAACAGCTTGCACCACTTCCATGCCCCACCGCTATTCCCAGTGATCTCTTGAAAAATAGCAGGAGTTGATAATATTCAATAAAACGTAGTTTCTTTCTTGCCCGTGGATGGGGCTGCTGTGGGCGCTTTGGTAAAATATGATTGATTGCATTAGATGCAATTATTTTGGAGAATCTCTTCCTCTCTGGTTTCCATCCAGCCTCAGTATTTCCTTCATTGCGACTTGTCGTGGGGGAAAGCAGAGGTCTTAAGGCCGCTGGCTGTGGTCCTCATAAGCCTGAAGCAAACTCCAATCATCTCCCTGGGTTATGTTGCCACCGTGTGTCCTAAAACTGGAAATGCTACAGGCACACGTGTTGCCATGATACGTGTGCGTGTGTGTCTGTGTGTGTGTGTGTGTGTGTGTGTGTATATATATAGCTTTTTTGGTACGGGTGCACTGGATACCAGTCTCTTGGTTGCAGTCTCTCGCAAAGGAGATGTTTGCATTGATATCTGTGGGTCATCATGATCTCGTCTCTTCTGGCCATTTTTCGGCTGCTCCTTTTTCACGAGGATGGAAACACGTTGAAGGCAAGTTGAGAGGAGCAAAGCAAGAGCAGATGCCGAAGAGGGTGGAAAGCAGGACCTGCAGGGCAAGGAGAAGGTTTTGCTTCTCCTAGAAAAGAGGGAGATGTGTTGCATCTTCCTGAAGCTAAAAGGCTGTCACCAGGAGGACAGGGCTTGATTGTCCTCCATGTTCCGCCCCGGCCCCAGGGGACACAAGGCAATGGAGAGAAGTTAATTTGCGGTGGAGATTGAGGTTAAGCATTATAAGGGACTTCGGGGGCGGCGCAGCGTGGTGGCGGCTCCTTCACCGGCAGTTTTCGGGAACATCTGCCAGCTCTGCTGCCGGCGCTGGGGGAGTGAAGTAGGTCACCCTTCAAGGTCCCTTCCCAGCCCTACATCGGGGGCTCGAGCTGACGGCTGGGACCTACTCCATTTAGCGCACGTTGAACGCCTGGCAGGCTGCGAACGTGACTGGGCTGTCCCTGAGTCACGTCGGGTGACACAGCCGCGGAGGCTGCTGTCATCCGTGGGCAGCCGAGCGAGCGGGAGAGGGAACGGTGGTGGGGCTGCTCCGCTCCGCTCCGCTCGGGCTGCGATCTCTCTGCTCCCTTGCAGGCAAAGCTCATCTGAAGAAAGCCATCATGAAGCACGAGGAAGCCATGAGGATCCACGGCTTGTGCAAGATCCTGCGGAAGATGGATATCCTTCAGGAGGTCCTCTCCTTCGCCCACAAACGCTCGCTGAGCAAATACTCAGAAATTGACCACGAGGAGGACTTCTTTGAAACAGGAGATGCCCCGGACATTCACCGTAAGTGTTTCTTTGGGGGTGCAGCTGGGGAGGGGATTTGTGGCAGGTTGCATGGGGTGGGCAAAGTCCACAGTGGCTTTGTGGCATGTCACTGTGGACCAGAGCTCCCTGCACGGCGGTGGAGCATCACGGGTGGGAGTGGGGGCTCCAGGCTGCGTGTCGATCAGCTGCCCGAGCAGGTCCCAGCTCTTATGGGTCACCCCATCCCTTCTCGGGGAGCGCGATGCAGAGGCAACAGCTGGTGCAACTACCTGACCCTGGCATATGTGCTTTTCTCTCCCTACCACTAGCCAAAACGCACCAGAAACCAGAGATAAAATCCCCCAACTTCTCCCAGGTTAAGGTGACCGACCTCTTCCACAGGCTGGTACGTACGGCTGCGGGATGGAGGTTGCCCCAAGGGAGCAGACATCTCCTCCTCCTCCTCCTCCTCCCCTGCATGTTCTGCTTGCCTGATTTCCTTCCTCCCCGCAGCCTCTTCTCCCTCTCCCGGTGCAGCTGCTGTGCTCACGGGCGGCTTTCCAAGGAGGATGAGCCGCCTCCTTGCAGGCAGGGACCTGTGCTCCCTGCACAGAGGGGTGGGAAGGTGCAGATCTGTCTCTGCAAGACCTAAATGGGTCGTGAAGCTCCTCCAGTGCATGGGGGAGCAGGCACAGGCGTTTTGGTTGGGCTTTACCTGAGAAGGACTGAAAAGACCCTTTAGAGGAAGCTTTCTAGGGGAGCAGGGCAGGATGGTGCCAGCTGAGAGGTACCAGGAAAATCCCACCAGACCTTTTTCCCCACCCTCTTTAGGCTTACAGGGTCCTGGGGAGCAGGGCTGAGCTTTGGGGCTGCTGGGGGACCTGGCTGTGCTGTTCCCATCCTTCCAGGCACCCCAAGGGCTGTGTAGCACCCCAGGGAAATGTTGGGCATCTCCACTTTTGAACAGCCGCAGGGCAGGCAGGTATATCCTGCTCCTCTGGGAATAGAAAAGTAGGAAAAAGACAGGAAAGTAGGAAAGATTTGGGGGGAATCTGACCCTTGAAGAGGTGACCTGTCCCACCGCCTTGCACCCTGCTGCTGGACCGTCCCAGCCGGGCTGCATCCCCCAGAGCCAGGCAGCAGTGAAAAACCTCAACCCCCATCGTCCCTCCTTGGGTGACGGGTTGTCTTTTTTCCCAAAGGGCGCAAATAAGGAGCTTTCTGTTTCGTTTGCTCCAGGTTCCTAGTGTCTAAACTGATGCCAGCTCACTGACTGTGCCGAGACCTCCTCCTCCTGCCTTGCAGGAGTGGGGCAGTGCCGGGAGGATGTCCAGACCTAAGTGCTGGGTGGAGGGTTGGACCAGAGACTTCCTGAGGTCCTTCCCAACCTGCACGAGACTCCTGCTGCTGCTGCTGCTCGTAAAGCCAACAGCTGCCATGGGCTTTTAAGCACCTCTGGCTTTATAGTGCATAAATCTGTGGTTTTGGGCATGCAGGCAGCGTAAAACACCAGGCAGGCTCAAAATCACATCCTTAAAGAAATGCAGAAGGCTTTCTTGCTCTGCTTCCTCCCCATCAGTGGGTGTTTTGCAAGGTTGCACGTCGCCAGGGAGTTTTTCTTGCGCCAAAAGTTGCTTTTCATGTTTCTACCTTCCACCAGGGGCCCCTTTCGGTTTTCTCGGCTAAAAACAAGTGGTACCCAGCGCGGAGAGTCCACCTGATGAGAGGAGAGAACGGTTTTGGGTTCACGCTGCGAGGAGACTCCCCCGTCCTCATTGCTGGTGTCATCCCAGGGGGTTGCGCTGCCGTGAGTACCCCAAGCTCTTGGTGTCCCCGTAGGGATGCTGGAAGTGGGGTGTGAGGGGTTGCCTCGAGGGATACCGGGTAGTTTTAGGTCTTAACAACTCAGTTGGTAACTACATTGGTGTGCTCAGATGGAGACTCATCCCTGCCTGATCTCAGCCCTGAGCTTGCAGATGGGAGTCACGAAATAATTGATATTTTTATATATATATATTTTTTTAAGGAGACAGCTAAGATAAAAAATATGGAGGTTAGCTCATTTTTTAACTGCTGGCAGCCTCTCTTTGGCAAGCGCCCAGCTCCCTTCTCTCCCATTTTGGGATGTGACAGTGGATGGAACAAGACGGCAAGTCTGAACTGCGAGTTATCTTGGTGAAAACTCACCGTATGGGATTTCTGATGTATCAGGGGCAACTTGGTTTTTCCAGCAGAAGCTTGCTGGAGCACCCTGGTGGGACACCTGCAAGATGTTTCACCTCCCTCAGCGCTGTTCAGCATCAACCCTGCCATCCAGACCCCACCACCTCTGTTACAACATGTTCCTTAGCAGCAGGATCACATCCCTTTTTGGGGAGACTAAAATCTTCTTAAAGACTACATATGGTCCATATCTGGAGCACAGTTGTGTCTCCTGGCTACTAACATTCGTTGCACTCATCTGGGGTGGGATTGGTCTCCAGATAGACACCGAAATGTAGGTGGCCCTGTGTGGACAAGTTTCTAAACCTCCATTGCAGCAGGTCCAGCACGTCCTAGCTGGGTTGCTTCTAGCTCTGATGCTGCTCCCCAGGGCCCTGAGCTGGCACGAGCTTTGCTTCAAGCATGTCAAGAGCCTTGTTGATACCTTGATGGATGAAGTGTGTGCAAAGAACCTTGCTGAGCCTGCTCTTGTTTTCTCAAGGATCAAGGCTCGCAGGCAATATTTTCATATTTTTTTTCTGGAGACCTGCAGTGTTTAACCGTTATCAAAGAGTCTCCCTGGTTCAAGAAGGACAGGGAACTGCTGGAGAGGGTCCAGCAAAGGGCTACAAAGATGATTAGGGGATTGGAGCATCTTTCTTACAAGGAAAGGCTGAGGGACTTGGGGCTTTTAGTCTGGAGAGAAGACTGAGGGGGGATCTTATCAATCCTTAAAGGGTGGGTGTCAGGGGGATGGGAACAGTCTTTTTTTCAGTGGTGCCCAGTGACAGGACAAGGGGTAATAGGCACAAACTTGAACATAGGACATCTAAACCTGAGGAGAGGGACTTCTTTCCTTTGAGGGTGGCAGAGCAGTGGCACAGGCTGCCCAGAGAGGTGGGGGAGTCTCCCACTCTGGAGCCATTCCAAACCCGCCTGGACACCGTCCTGGTCAACTGCTGGAGGTGCCCCTGCTCTGGCAGGGTGTGGGACTAGATGATCTCCTGAGGTCCCTTCCAACCCTGACCATTCTGTGATTCTGTGATTCTGAGTCAGAGCTGGATGCACTTTTTACAAGACTGCAAAAAATTAATGGACTGAGTGTTATGCGTGGCCGTCTCCAGCAGCTGCAGAAGAGATCCTTAGTCTGTAGAGCATCCCACCTGCCTGTGCACGCTGCAAAGCAGATGTAAAATCTTTAGGATGATGAAGGCATTGGCTGTCTAGTGCTGTAAGTGGAGGGTGGACTCCAGCCCTCCCTGTGGCCCATATCTCTGCAGGATTGGGACCTGCAGGGTGGGGTGGACACTGAGCGGACCTTGTGCAGCAGCATCCATGAGCTCAAATGTGTGCATCTTCTCTCTTTCCCCACAGGAAGCTGGGCTGAAGGAGGGAGACTACATCATCTCGGTGAACGGCAAGGACTGCAAGTGGTCCAAGCACGCCGAGGTGGTGCAGCTGCTGAAGAGCACTGGGGAGGAAGGAGTGGAGATCGGTGTGATAACCCTGCAGGGCCCAGAGGGACCGAAAGCCGTAAGTCACGTCCCAAGCCTTAGGTGGGAAACTGCAGAAGAGGTTCCCCAGTGTTTTGCTCCCAGGTTGGAGGTGCGGGGCTGAAGCCAGGCATCACGTCTGCAGCCCCCGGTGCTGCCCTGGTTTCACACCCCTCTTTGCTCCTCTTCCCAAACAGGCGGACAAGAAGGCAGCAGCAATGTCCTCGGGCGGTGGGCTGCAGAAGAGCAACAAGGAGAACAGCCGAAAGAGCCTGATGAACAGCAAGAGCGCCAGCACGCTGCTGGTCTGGAGCAAGAAGAGCAAGCGGAGCAAGAAGAGTACCTACGGCGTCCCCTTCACCGCAGTAGGAGACAATGAGGCCATGTACTGAAGCAGCCACCGGGCTAGGTCGTGTCCCGTCAGCTCCGGGGCTGGCTGCCCATGAACCTTCGCAAGCACCGGTGGCCTGTCCGGGCTGTGCTGGTGTCGGTGCTGCAAGGAACCTCCCCCCAGCCCCGGGGATGCACCGCTGGTCGGATCCTCTCTGAAGAGGCGAGCGATGCACAGTACCGGACTCCTCCATCGCCCAACTCCTGCGTTAAACGATCCTCAGCTAAACAATATGGGGGAAACACTGATTTATTCTTAATTTTTAAAATTTTTTTTTGTGTGCTCTTAAGGGGTCGGGGGGAGCTGTGCTTTGGGGTAAAGCAGGGACTGGTTTGTGTCTTCTGCTCAGTGCGAGGAGCAGCCAAACCAAGCCCTAGCCATTAAAGCAAAAGCTGTAACCTTCTTTAGCGTCTCCTAAGCTTTCTCTGCAAGGTAGAAGATGGCACCGCTGCTCACCGAGAGTTTCTGGCAGAGCCCAATTATTCAGCAGCTCCAGCTGGAGGTCACCTTCCGCTCCCCTTTTTTGGGAGAGGGGATAGCATGGGCATCGATGACTCGTGGTGACCCTATCATAGGGTCCAGCGCAGACCTTCCCAGGCAGCACCGGGCTGTGCGTCTCTGCCGCGGTACCAGTTAGGATGGGTTTGAGCATTTTTTTTAGTGCATTTTGTTTGGGGTTTTTTTATGGACCCCTAGGTTGGCCCAGCAAATACAGCCCAGTGGCACAGCCTGCTTCTTTGGAAGAAAAGGGAAAGACTTAACCTGCATTTGTTGTCTCGCTTTTTCTTTTTTTTTTTTTTTTAATCAGTAGAGGTGGATTGCCCTAAATATGTGAGTAGATTAATAGCTAAGAGCCTTGTTGTTTTTTTTTCTCTTGGTATGAGATTAAAATTCCAGGAAGATAGCTCCTCCAGATTATTAAACTACTAAATTTGTGCTAGTATTGGATCTTGCACACGTTGCTAATACCCTAACGCTGTGCTGTCAGCATTCGTACCAGAGCTGGGCTGATGGATACATACATCTTGGTAATTGTACTGGAAATGCTGGGAGACTCCGAGTACACGCTTAGATATATTGGCGAAATTTTCTCCATCCCATTTCTGCCTCGTGCATTATTTTTCTGAAGGCTAAAGAGCTGTCTGGTCTTCAGTGCTTGGATGATCTTGGTAGGTATAAAATACCCTTCAGAGATGCAATTGTATTTTTGTACTTTTTAAGTCGTGACGAATTCGTAGCGGTAGTTGGATGAAGCGAACGCGTGCTGGCAGCGGGATAGCATCGCGAGAGCATCCCCCCAGGGTTGTATTGTGACTTCTTCCAGGTGGCTTTGCCCACGTGCCAAGCTTTCAGCCCTGGTTTTATTTAAGGAGAGCTAAAGGAGGGCTTCTAACTCTGCGTTGTTGACCAAGAGGCCTCTCCGTAGACTGAGACATCATCAGACCGGATTACGGATCTGGCTGCCACCACCAGGCCATCTGGCACAGTCAGATTTTTCGACGTAATCTTGCCAGCTGCCTGGCGCGGGAGCAGTAAGGAAGGGGGTAGGTTCACAGAAAAGGCCACTTTGCTGTTAAAGCATCCCGGCAACATCTTCCCCCGCCCCGATCCTAAATGTGTTGCCGACACGGACGTCTCCGAGCTGGAGACGTATTGATTTAGAAGAAGCCTACGCGTCGCGTTGTGACCCGCATCACCCGACTCCTCCATTGGCACTGGTGGAGGGGTTGTGTTTTGGGCGAGTCGGATAATTTCCCTAACAACAGTGGGTTTGTTTTGGGGTTGTTTTTTTTTTGTTGTTTTTTTTTTTTTTTTTAATTTGTACATGGACTCTCACCTTTTGTGGATTAAAAAGCACTGATTCAAAAACACTTCGTAGCGTGCGTCTCCATTGCCAATCACAGGTGGACTGGGTGCACCAGCCGTGGAGGGGAACACGCCCTGGATTGGGTTTGCAAGTGGGTTGGTTTTTGGTCATTTTTTACCTAAATGTGGAGCTGTTGAGGCTGGGAGAGATCACTTGGCTCTTGTACAGCCTGATCCCAGGCAAACTGAGCTCTCAAGCATCCAGATCGGTCTGACAGCCCTTGGTGAACCATCATCTCCATCTCCAGTGTGGTGTAGTGGGAGCTGGGGGCTTTGTCGTGTGAGTTATTTTGCGGAAGTAACGCAGGACGTGAGGAGCGGGGCTCAGGCTGGATCCCGTGCGGGATTTTCTCCCGGGAAAAAAAAAAAAAGGGAAAATGTTTAAGAAAGTCATCTTTTGCTTCACACGGCGTGTTTTGATCTGCTGTTTTTGGGTTTCCAAGGGGGTATCCAACAAGGGTTTCCAAACCCCTTGATTTTGGAAGACCTCATCCATGGGAAGGAAGGTGTCAGTCATGCTGGAGGAATTCTTTGGTGAAGACCAAAGCCTTGACATGGGACCGCCCCCCACCCCACTTTCCCTTTGAAGGGGGTCTGTGTGTCTCTGGAGCCCACCTCCCCACCATCCTGGGAGGGTGACCAAGCCCATGGCTGCAGGGCTGGACCATGGGTCCTGGCAGCCAGAGAAGTCCCTCGCTCAGGCAGCGTGTGCCCCAACGCACCCCACAGGAGGCAAAAGGACAGAGTAACTCCCCTTCAGAGACACAGAGGTGGGTTTAAACCCCCTTAGATGGGAATGAACTGCGGTCAGTGCTTTCAACATCGGGTTAATATACAGAAGGATGGTGGGGAGCTTCTTTTTCTCCCGTCTACCAAGTTTGGGTTAAAATGGCGTCTGACTATTTTTTTTGACGTATTTTTATAATTTAAGGTGTTTACCCTTTCATCAGACCTCCTGTACCCAGCACCAACTCCAAAGCCGTACCAAGTGTTTAAAGCCACCCACAATAAGTGGTTCTGCTGCAGTAGATCCTTTTCCTGCCTACGTTCCATGGATGTGGGAAACTCGTGACTCTGTCGCCGGGATCGCCTCCCCCTCTGATGACATGTTTTCAGATGAGATGTGTGCTCCGTCAGCAAGAGCCTGGTGCTCCCTCCCTCCGTCCTTGTTAAGAGGCTGTGGAGCTGGATCTTTCCATGTTTGTCTTCTCCATCTGGACCAGGAGGTGGAGGGGTCCTGTAGGATCCTAGTGGTGGGGGACCAACATGGGTAGGAAGCACAAGAACCGTCGCAAAAATAGCTTTACAGTAACTAAGAACTTGAAGTCTCTCCAACCTCTATCCCCATGGAGAGGAGCTCCAGGTGGGCTCAGGAGCTGAGGCCACATGCGATGCTCCTCAGTCTGGGCATCCTGGGCTGGGACCAGTTAAGGCAGCTCTTAGGGGCATCTTATGACCAGAAATGAGGTGCAAAGAGGGTTTATTTTTATCCCTTGTTATTTTCTAGAGCCCTTGAGACAGAGAACAGTGGTGTCCACCATCCTTCAAAGCCCCATCAGGGCCAGCCAAGCAAACTTACAGGGGTTCAGACCAGTTTCCTGCCTTTGAGGTTAAATTTTCCTCCTCTTGGAGCTTCCTGCTCGATAATAAAAATCTCCCGGCCCATATATCAGCCCTTCCAGCGTGGTGGGAAGGTGTTTTGATTTTCCCCTCCATTAAGTACACAACGGCTCTCTTAATAGAAGAGGAGAAGGTACCTGCAGTGTCGGGAGCGGCGGCCGTGCGCCTGCCTCCTCGCTTCACGGCTCGTTGGCACTGTAACCCCTAATGGCTCCAGTGGAGCTGTCGCCAGCTACAAATTAATGCTCCTGCCTGTGCCTGGGGACAACAGAAGGAAAAGCAGCTACTGGCCATCAGCCCCGGCGTGGTTTTGTGCTGGGACGCTGCCTCTGCGCGAGGTGTTCTCACTGCTCGCTACACTGAATTTGGGATTTATGAGCGGGATCAGGCCCTTCAGCAGCACCTGGTGCTGCTTTCGAAGAGTCCTGGGCCAGGAGTAGATCAGTGGAGTCGTCTCGGGAGAAGGATGGAGCAGAGCAGCCTTTCTCCTGCTCCCAGGAGGAGGAACCATGCTGTGCCCGCTTGGTCCTTTGCCCAATGCTCGCCCCATCCCATGGAAGGTGTCCTCCTCAGCCCCACGTCCCACCTTAGCCCTCCCGAGCACCCATGTGCTCGGTGCGGAGCGGGGTGCCCGCTGCCACCCTCCCTTCCAACCTGAGCCCACTGGAGGGCAGCAGCACCCTGTCCAAGGCACCCACTCTTCGAAGCACCAGCATCCCGCATCTGTCCAGCGAAGTTGGTACCCCTCGACTCACGCTGCCACCCAATGGTGAGTAGAGGTGTCCCTGGGGTTCCTTGGAGACCAGTGCAGTGCAAAACAGGGCATAAAAAGTATTTTAAATCTATATATCCTGTGCTGTGCTTATGGGGGAAGTGGGCAAGTAACAAAGCCAAGCATTGCGGTGCAGCGTCCTCTGGGGTAGAGCACCCTGAGCTCGTAGCAAGCTCCATCCATCCAGTAAAGGAAGGGGTGAAATTTTGCTGGGAGCACTGGGAGCACCCATCCTGCTCCTACAAGCTGGCCTTCGGGCCCCACTGGGGCTGCACTGGGGTGGAGGGGAGGAACTTGCTCCCCTGGGCTGATCCCAAAAGCTTTGCCAAGGTGGTCTCTGAGATTTATATGGCCTTCTCGCAGCTTGGAGATGCTAAAGCCCTCCTGCGTGGCCTTGCATGGCAGCAGACAGTGCTGGGAGGTCCATCAGACAAGAGGTCACAAGAGAAAGGCTGTGCTGGAGGGATGTGAAGCCACCGGGACAGCAGAGCCAGGTGGGTCAAGGCTGGGCTTCAGCGTCAAGTCATTGGGGGCTGCAAGGGAAAGACCAGCAGGTCCAGGAGCTGGTGGAGATGTAAGCTGGCAGTGTTACACTAGAGGGCAGAGTCGGTGCATGCTGAATCCTGCTCCTCACAGTCCGGCCAGCCCTTCGTCACCCCAAGCCACCCCAGCACAGGGTAGGATGCTGCTCAAGTCCCAAATTGTCACATACCCCCATGCACGTAGCTCCGTGCAAACCAATC